CTGGGGACCAAGTGTTCGAATATCTGAGCTGACGGGGCGGGGGGGGGGGGGGGAGTGCTCTCATGCAAATCACCACAGAGGGTTTTTAGTCACAACAGACTTCACAGTAACTAGGAAGGCTCTCAGCCAAACACTGCATGAGCCATCCAAGGAACCATGCTGAACCTTCCACACTGAACCACTCAGAGATTCAATGCTAACCCACACAGATACCGGGTTCTGAGACTCTTGGGGACCCCCAAAGGAAGAAGCAGCAACATCCCATAGTAAGCGAGGTAGAGACAACATCTCCCTGTGTGGCCTGTTGGTATAGTTTTCCCCAGAGAACTCTAAAATTTTGTTTTTATAGGTCTTTTTATGTATCCCTGGTTGGCCTACAGCTCACTAGGTAGACCAGGCTGGCCTCAAACTCACAAAGATCTGCCTGCCTCTGCCTCCTGGGTGCCAGCATTAAAGGCATGTTCCACCATGTCTGGTGAGAACTTTTTTCCCCCTCAGAGAAGGACTCAACTAGACAAGGTATCATTCAAAAAATATACACAGGGACCTTCTATGTGCCTTGGGTCCCTCCCAGGCAATATCCTCAGGCTAGCCAGGACAAAGGGGCTACCTTCCAGGGGCCTGTATGCTATGAGTAAGACTGATAAAGGAGGCCAAGGCTGGGGCTCCTCCATAGAGTGTGCCTGATTCAATTGCTCCCCCCCCCCCAGCCAGAGGACTGCCCTGAATACAGGGCAACTCGTTATTGGACAGTTTTCTGTTACTATAACGAACTATCTGATGCCAGGCAATTATAGAAAGAAAGTTTATTCAGCTCATAGATTTAGCTTTGCTTTGGGAGTACTGCCTGTGTGCTGTTGTGACAGGTCTCTCTACGTATTACAGGCTGGCCTTAGACTCACAATTCTCCTGTCTCAGTCTCGTAAGTGCTGGGGGGCTGAAAGTCCAACAGCACAGCCCTTCCTGGGGGGTGGAGCTCCTTGACTGCATAGCCTCATGGCAGAGACCATCATGGTGGGCTGTGTGGAGGAAGGGGTTCCATATGCAGACAGGGGCCAGAGCATGGGAAGGGGCAGTAGTGACCTTCCACCAAGCCCCACCTCCAATGTAATCACAGTGAGGACCATGCTCTCAACACATGAGCATGTGTTGAGGAGGGCACCCTCAAACCACGGCCAAACCACAGCATTCCCCAGACTGCTCAGAGTTTATGTCACCCTGTATCAGGTTGATAAAAAGAGGTGCATTGTGGGGCAGGGGCAGGGGCAGGGGCAGGGAGTGGCTTAGTTGTTAAAGTGGTTGCTGCATAAGCTTGAGGACCTGAGTTCTGATCCCTGCACCTGTGTGAAAGCCGGGCCTGGTGGTACACGGCTATTATCCCAGTGTCTAGAGAACAGACAAATCTCAAAGACCACTGGCCAGCCAGCCTCGCTAAGTCAGTGAGCTCCAGGTTCAGGTGTCTCAAAAAAACAAGGGGTGGAGTAGGGTGGTTTGAATAAGAGATGTCTTTTTTTGCTTGTTTGTTTTTCGAGACAGGGTTTCTCTGTGTAGCTTTGCGCCTTTCCTGGGACTCACTTGGTAGCCCAGGTTGGCCTCAGATGTCCTCTGGTGGCTTGTGTATTTGTACTCGTGGTCACCCGTGGGTGGCACGGCTTGGGAGGAGCCTTGTGGAGGATGTACATTCAACACTGAGGGTGGGCTTTGAGCGGTTGTAGTCCTGCCCCACTGCCAGTCGGCTCTCTCTCTGTCTGTATTAGATGCGATCTCTCAGCTGCTTGCTCTGACCACCAGATGCCATGCCTCCCCAGCATTATAAACTCTCCCTCTGGAACCACAGTCCGAAATAAAGTCTGGCTCCCATAAGTCACTTTGGTCATGGTGTTTTAGCACAGCAACACAAAGTAGCTAATACAGAGAGCAGTCGAGGAAGATACCCAGTGTTGACCCCTGGCCTCCACACACGTGCACCCACAAAAACACACATACACACATAGGAAACACATGCATTGCACCATGAATCTTGCCGTAAGAGCAAACATAAGGGCCTTATAGAAGCTGAGCAGGACCATATTTTACTGGCCTCAAACAACCTTTGCACACCATGCAATTAAGCCTACGGACCATAAGCATCCATGTGCACAGTACATGTACACACACACACAATACAATACACAAACACACACACATGCATGCTTACATTTGATTTGCATTAAGTACATTCTCATTTCCTCTATCCTAGGCATTTTCTGCCAGACCCAGCCTAGAACCTAGTGGTTCTCAATATGTGGGTCATGGCATATCAGATATCATACATATCAAATATTTGCATTATTATTCATAACAGTAGCAAATTTACAGTTATAAAGTAGCAACAAGAGAATTTTGTGGTTGGGGTCACCACAGCCTGAGGGGACCTGTAGTGAAGGGTCACAGTGTTAGGAAGGTTGAGAACACTGCTCTAGATTGTGTTTTGACCTCTGTTGTGTAACAGTTTCCTCTGAGACTGAAACATTCCATCCTGCAGAGTAACTCTTTAAACAGGAAGGCAAACAACTCAAAATAGCTCCAGGAAGTCCCTGAAACTGACCAGATTCACTAGGCCCCTCCCTGCCAGAGTAAAATGAAAGCTGAGAGTCAGCCTCAGGAAAGGAAGCTGTGGACGCTCTCCAGCCTCTTGAGCTGCCTGCAGGCTGTGCAGCGCTCCAGGTTCCCATCTTTGTGAGCTGTCACCCAGGCTGGGGTGGGCTTTGGGGATGCAGCTGTCTTTGATCATTTCTGCTCCTGTAAGTATCCCCAATAAAACTCACGGATTCACCAGATTGGACTCGGGTGGTATCTGTACTTTGCTCTGTTGTGGGACCCCTATCTGGAGTGAGTAGATGAGTGTGTTGTGTCTCCCCAGGAAAAGTCTTGTCCTACAACAACCTCTTCTTCACACAACAAATGACTGATAGGCTGAACAAAGGCCCCTAAGAAATCTGGGTTCTATTTCCACAGTCCTCAGCTGCTGCTTACATGGAAAAGAGAACGTTGCAAATGTGATTCAAGTTGAAGATTTGGGGCTGGAGAGATGGCCCAACGATTAACAGTACGTACTGTTCTTGCAAAGGACTTGAATTTGGTTTGCAACACTCACATTAGTTAGCTCTCGACTGCTGTAACTCCAGCTCCAGAGGTTCAAACACCCTCTTCTGAATCCTCAGGCACCTGCACTCACATATGCATACACATGCACGCATGCATGTACACAATTAGAACTAAATCTTTAAAAAAAAAAAAAAGTTTAATTTGAGGATTTGGTGATGGTAAGTTAGCCCAGGATCACAGAAAGTTCTCATGTAGACTCTTATGACCAGGGCACAAAGGGAGTCTTCAGAGTAGACTCCATGCCTTCAAAAACTTAGATTGTAGTGTAGATGGAGGACGATGCCATGAGCCAAGGAGGGCAGGCGAAGCTAGACCAGGATTCCTCCTAGAGCCTCAGTGATGCTAAGACCTTGATTTTCTTCTCTCAGAACTCACTGGTGACCTCTGAGGGGCCAGGCAGCGGATTAGTAGTGGGATTCTCGCCTAGCATGCACAAGTGTCGGGTTACACTCCTAGCACCCCCCCCAAGAAACACCCCAGCCTTTAGAACCAGAAGATAATAAATTTTATTATCTCAGCAACTGAGCTTTTGGTAATTTGATACAGCAGCTGTAGGGAACTAATACAGCAGGAAAGTGTGTCACAGTCTCTCTTTCTGTGATTTGTGATTTTTAACAATAATTTTAATAGAAGAATAAATTTTCATTTAAAGAATCAAATTCAATAAAATATTTCATGTAGGCACTAAAATTTGCATTTACCAAACATAAATATTTCTCGCCACAGTCCGTGCTGTTTCATTGTTTTAAAGTTGAAACAGAAATAAAAGCTATGTGTGCTCCTACAGATTGATGGGATCAGAGCCAAGCTCTGTTTCTTCGATGATGCCAACACTGTGCGGTCGTAGTTCATTTCCACTCTGCTGTCTAAATGTAGGGGAGTGGGATTCTGCTGGGGGAGGACATATAAAGACACCTGGGGGCTGGGGTAGAGCCCCTTACCACAAAAACCTGCCCTGAACGCAATCCCAGAAACCCATGTACAAAGTGGATGTGGTGATGCACATCTGTAAACCCAACACTCCTGCAGCAAGATGGGAGACAGAGACAGGAGGACTGCCCGAAGTCTCCGGGGCCAGCCCAGAGTACATGGCACACAGGCAGAAACGAGAGACCCTTCTTCAATAAGGTGGGAAGGGGAGAACCAACTCCTGAACGTTGTCCTTTGACCTCCATATGTACACCTGAGTGCTCGCGCCTGCACACATACATGCACACACAGATAAATATTTTAAAAATTGTTCACTTTTGTTTAGTTTTTCAGAAAGGGTCTCACTGTGCTTCCCTGGCCAGACTAGAACTTGCTGTATAGACTAGTCTGTCCCAGAACTCACAGAGATCCACCTGCTTCTGCCTTCCCAGTCAAGATTAAAGGAGTGAGCCTTCATGCCTGGCTGTGTGTGTGTGTGTGTGTGTGTGTGTGTGTGTGTGTGTGTGTGCATATGTGTGGACGTGTGTAGGTGCCCATAGAGCCCAGAAGAGAATGTCAGATCTTTTGAAGCTGGAGTTACAGGCAGTTATGATTTGCCCAGCATGAGTGCTGGGAACCAAATTCTGGTCTTTGCAAAAGCAGCCAGTGCTCTTAACTATTGAGCCATCTCACCAGCCTCAACAAATATTTCTTAAAGGCAAGCAGGGCAATCCTGAACAGTCTCAAACCATAGGAATTGCTTTCCAAAAGAATGCAAAGAACCATTCTGATGACAGGGGTCAAAGATACATCATTTTAAAAGTGTGTTCATCTGAAGCTTACATTAAGACTCCACAGTGACATAACAAGTTTCAGTGTAAACAACTGATGTCCATCAGACTTGGTCAGTGTTAAGGTGTGCGGTGTTTAATAAAGAGCAGACCAGCTTTCATGAGTTTTATTATTGTTTTGAAACTCGTTCTGGGTACTGTGTGTTCTCACTGCCAGCATGTGGAAAAGACAGCTCCTGTGCCTGTCCTGGTACCACACTGGTTTCTCGCTGTCCAGGAAGAAGGAAGGGCGTTCTCTTGGCTCAGAAGCTAAGCTTTCCTTTGGCCCTTGGTTGCCAGGGGTCCAGGGGAACATCCAGGGCAGTGGTGGGGCTCTGGTGGCCGTGAGAGAACATGTGGGCAGGAGGTCAGAGGAAGAGGAAATTCCACGAGAAAGCCCAAGCCCTTCGTAAGCAGAAAGCTGCAGAGATCCTTCTTCTGCCCCACACTGAGCAATCTGCAGAGGATCTATGGGAAGGATCAGTTGATCTCCCAGCAGCAAATGGGTCCCTGTGCAGCCCCTTCTTCAGGGAGCACTCAGCCTGCTGAGCCCAGCCTCCCTGATGGCCCTGCTGAGGCCACCAACTCTTAGATGCCACATATAGGCCTACCCCTAGAGGAACAGGCCTTAACCAGGAGCTCCTGTCATGGGCCACTTGCTTCTGGTTGGCCCTGAGAACCAGGGCATCTGGCTGTCTCCAGGCATGTGGCAGGCCTGAGGAAGGATGAAGTCACCAGGAAGCAGAAACAAGGACGACAGGCCGCTCTGCCCAGCACCACCACCTGGCTTCTCCTCTGCAGCGTGCATGTCACATCATCACACTCACCACAGCCACTCCCCGTCTCCATGGGGCTCCAAACGTGGGTGGCTTCCCGGCAAAAAAAACCAGGGAGGCACCTGTGGGCTTCCTGAACTGGGGGCCTGCAGGGCTATAGCATGCACTGGAAGGCCTTGCCAGCAAGCAGCCAGCACACTGCACCTGCCCAAGAAAGCCAGTTCTGGCACCAAGTCTCCCCCCACATCCCCCCTAAGACAAGGCTTCTTGGTACATCAAATGGCACCTCATCATCGCACCATGTCTGAACCCCTTCCCTTGACGCTCCATCCTTCAACCGGGAAGGGTCTTTGCACACCCCTTATGCTTTTAAATTTACACTTATTTGCTCCCCTCTCTGTGTGTGTGTGTTTGTGTGTGTGTGTGTGTGTGTGTGTGTGTGCATGTGCCATAACACATATGTGAAACTCAGACGACAACATTTAAGAGTCAGTTCTCTTCGACCATGTGGGTCCTGACTAGGGTTGTCTGGCTTTTACCCATTGAATCACCTTGCCAAGCTTGGGCCCCTTCAGTTTGATTTTAGGGAAAAGGCCTCCAGATGTAACCCAGGCTGCCCTGGCACTCACTATGCAGGCTGGCCTCAAACTCAGCGATCTTCCTTCCCCAGCCCCCAGTGCTGACGAAACAAGAGCCGCCACTCCGGCCATAGCTTTGGCCTTTGACCAGGAGCTTTCTGGAGAGGTAACGCCCCTGGGGAGTCATTTAGAGGCTTTAGGGGCTATTCTAGGGGTCACCAGGACCAGCGCTCCGTTCTGAATTGCGCTGGAGTGGGAACTGGGTGGGATGGGGGAGTGGTGGGCAGGAGTATTTCCCACCCTGTCGGAATGCAAATCACTGGCAGCTGAGATGAACGATCCTGCAGGATGGCAGGCAGGGTTCCCAGTGGGAGACATTTGTCATTTCCACTCTCCAGCAAGACACCCCCCCTCTGCCATCCCTCCTCCCCTCCCTCCCCTCCTCTGCCATCCCTCCTCCCCTCCCTCCCCTCCTCTGCCATCCCTCCTCCCCTCCCTCCCATCCAGGTAGCTCCACCAGGGCACAGGTGCCCCAGACAAACAAAGGCAGCTCCCTGCCCCCATCTTCTCCTGTCAGAGGAGACTCTGTCTGGCCTGGTGCCACCTTGGATGTGGATTGCCCAGACTGTGCACAGGACAGCACCTCTTGGGCATAAGGCAATGGCCCTTTGTCTCTTCAGGGATAATACGAAGCCTCATACCTCTCTCCTCTGTGGGCTTCCCGGCTAATTGGCAAGTGTGTGCTCTGTGGCTGTGCAGCTAAGATTTTCCATGATGTCAGCAGAGCTCCAAGGTGCCTGGATTCAACCATCAGGCACAGAGCAGGGAGGGACGTCGGGCCTGGTTGTGTTACAGTGAGAATTAGCATCCTGCTTGCCCCTCTCCCGCTGCTGTAGAAATGGCTGATGAAGGGATAGCTGGGTGAATCTCCCTGAGACTGTGACGTTGCCAGAAATCCAACACAAACCATCCGGGCATCTCCTGTTCAGAGCTCCTCATCTTGAGAGCAGACAATGGAGAGCATCACACACAGGACAGGACTCAAGTGTTCCAGACCAAGTGCCAAGAAGTAGCATTTCACAAAGTCTGAATGAGAAGCCTTTCCTCAGTCCTGGGAATCCTTCCTCAGTTCTGGGGACCCTTCCTCCGTCCTGGAAACTTTCCTCAATCCTGGGGACCCTTCCTCAGTCCTGGGGACCCTTCCTCAGTCCTGGGGACCCTTCCTCAGTCCTGGGGACCCTTCCTCAGTCCTGGGGACCCTTCCTCAGTCCTGGGGAACTGCTCCACCTGGCCAGCTGCCTTCCAGTGCTTGGAGCTGATTCCCCAGTGATGTTGAGCTGGGCTGGTGCATCATCCCCCTCCCCCATCCCCATCCCCCGCCCCTTCCCACCCATCTTACCCTTCCTTGCTCACAGCCAGCCTCCACACTGGGGGCCCAACAAGCATTTCCCTGCTGAATGAAAAAGCAAGCAAAAAATGTTCCTTGTAGGACTGAGGCAGTGCAGAAAGACAGAAAATATCAAAGGGTATGAGGAGAAAAAGAAGGCCAGGGGAACTAGCTTGCCCTTCCTGTTGAATGAAAGTCAAGGAATTTCAGCACGTGCCTGTCAAGACTCTCAGCAGGTGAAGGAAGACACTTGCCTCCAATCCTGGAGGCTTCAGTTCAGTCTCTGGGACCCACACAGTGGAGGGAGAGAATTGGCTCCCACAAGGTGCCATCCGACCTCCACATGTGGGCTGTGGCACATATGTACACACATATAAATTAATACATCAATAAATGTGATTTTAAAAGAGGAAGAAAATGTCAACATAACCGATAAAGCCAAAATTGCCTCTAGAGAGAAGCCCAAAGACTTCTCCAGCATGGATGCCAAGAATAACAAATAAGGACCACAGAGTTGCCCTCTGACCTCCAAACCAGTCCAGTGACATACCCACACCCACACACTAGTCAGTACACCTTTAAAACAAGGTTTAATTTAAAAAATGAACTCTGCCTACTTAGGGCTACAGTGTTAGCAACCTCGAGTTTGACTGTGCCAGCAAGCCTCTTTCCCCACACCCAAAAATGCACCCCAGAAAACGGCTTTATGCTTCCATTTCAAGGAAATTATTAGTGTGTGTGTGTGTGTGTGTGTGTGTGTGTGTGTGTGTGTGTAAGCATTTGCATGCAGGTCCCCCAAAAGGCCCAAAGAGAGCGCTGGCTCCCCTGAAGCTGGCAGGAGGAAGCCACCTTGCAGATGCTGCGGACCCGGGTTCTGCAGAGGCAGTGAATAGGTGCTCTTAACCACTCAGCCATCTCTCCATCCCTCCAAAAAGAAATTCTTCAAGATAAAATACATAAATAAATCACCTCATATATATTTGACTTAATTTTTAAATGTTACTTAACATAATTTTTTAAATTTAATTTAATTTTTATTTATATACTTATTTTAATGTATTTATTTTTTTGTTTTGCTTTGTTTTTTGAGACAGGGTTTCTCTGTGTAGCTCTTGGCTGTCCTGGAACTCACTCTGTAGACCAAGCTGGCCTGGAAACTCAGAGATCCACCTGCTTCTGCCCCCTGAGTACTGGGATTAAAGGCTTGTGCCACCACAGCCCGGCTTAGTTTTTTTTATTTATTTGTTTATTTATTTTTGCTTATGAGTATATGGGAGGGGGTATGTGTATGTGGGAGGGACATGTGCATGTGGGTGGGGCATGTGCATGTTGGAGGGGCATGTGCATGTGAGAAGGGCATGTGCATGTGGGGGGCATGAGCATGTGGGAGGGGCATGTGTATGAGAGAAGGGCATGAGCATGTTGGGGGGCATTGCACGTGGGAGGGGCATGTGCATGTGAGCGCAGGTGCTTGCAGAAGTTAGAGGTATCAAATCCCCTGAATCTAGAGTTACAGGCAGTTGTGAGCCATCTGACTTGGTACTGAGAACTGAACTTGGGTCCTCTGTAATAGTAGAAAGCGCCCTTAACTAACCCATTTCTCCAGCCCTGAAATGTTACTTAATTTTTAAACTTTGATTAATCTTTAAGCCATGTGGTAAATTACATCTTACATCTTTTCTTTTTTCTTTCTGTTTTAAACAGGATCTCCCTGGCTGTTCTGGAACTCACTATGTAGACCCATCTGCCTCTGCCCGCTGAGTGCTGGGATAAAGGCGTGTACCCCACACTGCGTGTACAGAGCATGTGAATTACACCCTTTGAACAATATAGTTTAGTAAGTCACAGAACTACACAGAGTGCTGTTTTAAAGACATATCTCTTGAGAAATCTTTTGAGAAGTACACACCCATGACTTTGACGTATACTGTGCCCTTAAATCTAAGTCATGGTCCCTTCTTTAACTCTGCTTAATAAACTGGCTTTGCTTCCTGTTGCCTTGTCCTCAAATTCTTTTCTGTGGTTTAAGCAAGGATCGGGCTTCATCGGAGCGGTATCCCTAAGGGGAAGGGGTTCCTCAGGCTGCTGGCAGGCCCGACAAGCTGTGTGTGTTCCTTCTGCCCTGACAGAAGCAATACACACTCAGTTCTGGAAAGAGTTAAAGTTCTCCGTCAGCGTTGGGGCTTGAAAGCACATGCCTCCCTTTGGCCTTTACTTCTCTTCACATTTACCACCATCCTGTCCAAGTCTACTTATTGAACACTTGCTATGCACCGTGGGCTGCTGGTGAGTGTGAACTGTGAACTATGGGCTCTGCTGACTGACTTGTCATCACCAAGGGCTCCCAGAAACAAAGGCTGGAGTTTAGTCACCAGTACCCACAGAAAAGCTGGTTCAGTGCTGTGTGCCTCAACCCCAGCCTCCCTGGAGGAGTCTAGCCAAACTGGGGAGCGCTAGGTTCGGTGAGGGACTCTGTCTCGAAAAATAAGGTGGAAGGTAATTGTGGAGGACACCCAGTGTGGAACTTTGGTTTGCACACACACACACACACACACACACACATACACACACACACAACTACATGCATGTACACACATGGACACACACACAAGGGGTGGGGGGGCAGGGAAGAAGGGTGCAGACCCAGCCTGTGAGCCAGGTTGGGGGCTTGACTCTGACCCTCCCTCATGTTCTGTCTCTTACCTTCTTCCCGCCTTCGTCTGAAAGCCCTTCTTGCCTGTGTCTCCCCTTTTGTCAATGAGCTATCCCAAGCTCCTGAATTAATGAAGGACGCCGAATCTATTCCTTCCTTTCTAGGTTTGGCTCTTCCCAACACGGGCTTCCTCTGCTGGAGAGAAGGCCTTGCCACCCCCCTCCCCCACCACCACCACCTGTCCCAGCTCCCTCTGGCCCATCCCAGTCTCCTCTCCAGCCTGATGAAGCCTCGCCCTGCTGACATCCCAAGACCCTGGTCCCACACTCCACTCCATGGGGATCATGATGACTTTGTCAGCTCAGTGGCCTGCAAAGGGATGGGATGAGGGTGCACTGAGAACAGAGAGGAGGGGGCTCTTCAGTAAATGCAGATGTTTTTAAATCACTGTAATTAACTGGAATGGATACTGTGAATTGGAAGCATAAAAGCTAAATGGGCTTTTAACTATTTGTCATATACTTCAAGGGGTCATTGGAGAATAGAACGCGGGGATGTGATCCTGCTTTCTTCATGGTTGCTTTTGCCTGGTAAGTGTTGGGCGCGCGCGCACGCACACACACACACACACACACTCTCCCTCTGTCTCATACTCACACAGGAGCACTCAGCACACACCCCCTCCACTGTCTGTAGTGTCTTTCACTGTCACACTCAGCAGGACTGCCCTGAGGCAGTCTCGGCAACAAAGAAGAAACCGAGTACCACAAGCACAGGTTGGAAAAGTCTAACTTTGACCTCCTTGGAAAATTTGCTCAGAGGCCCTAGGGTCTTCCTGTCCCAGAGCTATGTGGGGAGAGGGGTTGTGGGGGGCATGGCTTCTCTGGGGACAAACCCACCCAAGCTTGACCACTTGCCTCTGCCCACCCCAGTCAAGGGGTATATCCATGGACTTGCTGTCCCAACTCCTTCCTCAGCTGACTAGAGAGGTGTGGGCAGGTTGCACACACTTTGGGTCAGGATCCACAAAATGCCCCGGTACTTTTTGCTTAGACTTGTTCCTTCCCCATTTCAGGGAGCAGGAAGGAATCTGGGTCAGCTGTGGCCTGAAGGGCTTTGAGAGGCTTTGTAAAACCCCTCTGGCCAAGGGCCTCTTCACACCTTCCTCTAGATGGGAGAGGCAGGACGTGGTGAGCCAGGGCAAAGGATGAAAGAGGAGGCAGCTGACTCTCACCCACTCTTAGCCTAGCTAGCCTGGAGGAAGGAAAGCCAGAACAGGGTTTTTCTGGGGACACCTATCCTGTGTGTCCTTGACATTGATGGTTCTGCTACAGGATGAGGCTAGGAGTCTGGGGCAAGGCCACCAGGCCTACTGTGTGCCCACACATTGTTCTGCACAGCTGAGATTTCCTCTGCCTCTTTCTTTTTTTTTTTTTTTTTGGTTTTTTGAGACAGGGTTTCTCTGCGTAGCTTTGCGCCTTTCCTGGAGCTCACTTGGTAGCCCAGGCTGGCCTCGAACTCACAGAGATCCGCCTGGCTCTGCCTCCCGAGTGCTGGGATTAAAGGCGTGCGCCACCACCGCCTGGCTACTGCCTCTTTCTTTTGTCACACCCTCCCGCTGGGCCCAAGAAAAGGAAGGGAGCCAGGGAGGAAGTCAAGGGCAAGACAGCTTCGATGGGCTTGGGATGGCTTCTAGACTGGGAACCTGCTTCTCTTGTTTCCCACAGAGCCAGCAAGGCCCTTTGGCTCTCTGCGTTAAGGCTGTAGCGACATAAGTCCCTTCTGAGCCAGGCTAAGATCTCATAACTTGGAGAACCAGGCTTTGGCAGAGGACAAGTCCTCCACCCAGCCTGGACAGACTCAAGAGCCCAGAAACTTAAGCACAT